CAGATAAGAGCAGTTTGCTATTCTAAGCCTGAGACAATATTCCTATCTCTCTCCTGAGTTCATGTCTCAGTAAATGAGGAACTAGATAAAGTAGAGAGAAGTACGTGTCTCTTTGTTTCCGTTTGGATTATACGCCTTACTAATCACTCACGATTTTATCTTTAACTGGTGTATACTTAGCTAGTTTATTGTTACTTTGGGAGATCTTGAAACCTAAACTCATGATATGTACATGTAAATCGGTGACCGATGATAATTGTTTGCTGAAAGAATAAATACCGATGCGGGACTCCACTCGTGGCCTCCTGGCTCACAGGAATGCTGGAGGACCCCTGATTTCCCCATCTATACTTTGTCTCTGTCTCCTTTGTGTCCAATCTCTTGTGACATTCCTGCCTGGGACCCGATTTGTTGGGAGAGTCGCGAACTCCCAGCAGCGTAGTTTCTGTAAACTTTGGAAACATCAATGCTTTCTGTTAATGGCACCTCCCCAGATGATAGGGACATTGTCTCCACTTATCACAGGGCATAGATCACCTCCTTCTCTGCACTGACCTTTTTTTCTTAGTCATATGATCTCACGTTAAAAGTCACATTGTGTTATACAAATAAAAAGTAAAATGCACATTATGCATTTAAGTCAGTTAGAAGTTGGTTTAGTTGTGTGTAACAAGAAACCCAAATAACAGTGGCTTTAAAAAGACAGAGGTTTATTTTTCTCTCACATAAAATAAAGCTGTCAGTAAGGTGTCCAGGGCTGGTGTGGTGGCTCCATGGCGGCTCATCATGAACCTAGACACCTCCTTTCTGCCCCCCACCCTTAGTGTGTAGCTCCCATACCAGATTTCGTCACAGTGATAGATGGCTGCTGAGGTTCCAGCCATCCAGTTATAGTCCAGGCAGAAAGGAGACAAAGTGGAGGGGGGCAGTGGAGTGCCCCCGTGCAGAGGCAGCCCCCTTTAAAGAACTTTCCCAGATGCTCTGCCCATGATACCAGCTGAAACCTCACTGGCCTCCTCTAGCTGCAAAGGCGGCTGGACATAGATGTACACATTGGCCCCAGTAAGGAAAAAGAGATGGATACTGGGCAGGCCACAGTGATCTCATGTGGTTATCTCAAATTTGGATAGCACAGGCTCACAGTTTTTGCAATAACTGCAACCGTGCTACCTTGATGTATAATTTGTGTTATAAAGAAACGAGCATTGGTTGGGAAAGTGTAGATAGAAAAGCAGCATTTGGGAAAAAGCACTGGACAGAGAGCACAAGATCTGGGTTTCAGGTCCTGCATGGATTGACTTCTCTGGGCTTCCAGGTCTCCCCACAAAGATGAGGGCAGGGATTCTTAGAGCATCTATACACGTCAGCCTTGATATTGCGATGGTTCACCCCCAACGCCTGCACAGCATCCCCGTATTTCCCTGGCCCTCCTCCCCCTCTGTGCCTTCTGTCACCTCCTCCGTTCAAGCCGGAATCATCTCTCACTAACACTCTTACTGGGCCCTTAACTGGGTCCCCTGGCTACAGCCTCTCCACTCTTCCATTTGCCTTGACACTGAGATAAGATGATCTTTTTTAACCACAGATTGGAGTCAGTCATTCTTCTATTTTTAACATTTTAAGGGATCTCCATTTCCCCCAGAGTGAGTTTTGCATCTGTGTTCTGGCCCTGGCCCACCTCTTCTCTGCCTCTACTGCTGACCCCCACACTTCTGCATCCACGCCCAGCCCATTTCTGTCCTTGTCGGTCTCGGAAGTCCAAACACCATGAGCTCACACCCACTGCCGTGGCAGGTGCCCTTCCCTCTCTCTGGAGTGTGCTTCTCCCTTCCCCAGCTCCAGCCTTGGGCGCGGACCTCCTATCCCCAAGGCCATCTCCTCTGAGAAGTCTTCCCTGACTCCCTCCCGTCTTCTAGATTCCTACAGTCCTATGTGCCGCCCTCTTTGCTAGCACATTCGCAATCCCAGGGCACTTATCTATCTCATTTCTTGTCCGTCTCTCCCCCTGGACTCAGAGATTCCCACAGGCAGGAATCACATCTGAAAGCCTCACACACGCAGTGCCTAGGACAGGAGGAGGTACTCACCGCTTGTCTGCGGGATGGAGGGGCTGTCCTTCCAGGGCTCCTCCAGCATTTGCTGGGTCTTTCGGTCAACAAACACCTGTTCGTTGTATGCCGCAGGTGACCAGCCTTTCACTTGTAAGGAAGAGCCTAGCCCTGCTCTGTGGGTCCATCTTTGCAGCAGAGCCCCTTACTCTCGGTGCCTTGGGCTCAGATTCCCTCTCTCGCTCACTCCTCACTGGTCTGCTGAGCACCTCTGTCTCCCAGGACTTTGAGGGGCTCCCAGAGCAGTGGAAGGGATGGAGAGGGGAAGACAGACATGAACTTGCATATGAGCTCACACAGGCCACAAGCACAGACCACACAGATGGTCCGGAGGGGCTACAGAGAGGGGCTAGGCCTCACTAATTCGCTGCCTGGGCTGCTGGCCTGTGGGGAGTAGATGGTTGGAAGGAAGACAGCAGCCCTTTCAGCAAGGGGCAGGAAGCCAGTCACACCTCCAGTTGCTGCAGCAAATTTGTTCTCCCCTCCATGTCTGCAACGGCTGTCCCTTGGCTAGATCGCCACCGCCTTCTCCAAGGATTCTCACACCACGTAGGTGCTGCACTGGCTCGGGGACCTCATGCATCTTCTCTTGACATCTGCCAACTTTGTTGAAGGCCCAAAGACTGCTGGCACAGCAAGGGACCATAAAGATTACCTAGTAGTGTCTAGACCTCTCGTTTTATGGACGAGGACACTGAGACCAGAGGGCGGACGTGGAGAGTCTCACGCAGCCAGTGGCAGAGCAGGGCTACAGCCCAGGTCCGCCGACTCCCAGCCCAGGGTCTTCCCGGGGTGCCACCTTTCCTTCTGGCGTGTCAGAAGTAGAACACATGGATTAACGCTGGGCCACTCAGAGACCACACGGCTGGTGTTAGAGGTGTCCCGGGGGGATCCCAGGGACGCAGACAGTGCCTTCAGTCACAGAAGCTGAGGGTCGGAAGGGGAGCCCTTCTGATTCTATCTGGCACATAAACCCTTTCTCCATCCTCACTTCACTCCTTACAGGGACAGAAGTTACAGCTTCCCAAGGCAGCCTATTCCTTTTTGAACAACTCTATTAAATAGTTCTTCCTTGTGCCGTCTCGTAACTTCTGCCCACCACCAGAGCGTTGAAAGTGATGACACACTCAGTCAAGCACTCAGGGAACGTGATTGTAGACACTTCTAAGAAGGGTTCCTGATGAACTCTCCAAGAGCAATTAAATATAAAACAAGCTCCCAGGTAACTGAACCATTGGAGCTGTTATATAAGATCATTTGCACGTAACCTAGTTGAATTATAGGGACATCACTGCCAAAAGAATGATTTTTTTAAAGGATCATTGCTATGTCAGCCTTTCTTGTCTGAATGTCATTCAAGAGGGGTCCATATGTGTATTGAGGTTAATATATGACAGTGAAACCGTATGCGTCAGTGGGGAGAAAATTGCTGTCCTTCCTCTTCTCTGTAGCAGGGACGGAGGCTTCAGCTCACCTGGCAGCTATTTCACACTGTCGAGGAGGGGCCCGACAAGTCCGCGTGCTCCCCTCACCACGGCTGCGGGCAGCCCCGCAGATCCCAGCCCTCAGGGTGGCTCCGACCTCGCTACCAAAGCGCGGGCCTTACCCGTGAATTGCTTGCATCAGAGTCTCCTCTGGGACATGAGGGGAAGGGGACGCTGCCGGCACAGCAAGGCGCTTCGCTTGGACTTTCGTTGGGAATGGTGCTAAAGCGCTCATCGCCCTGCACCGCCACGGGGTCTTTTTAAATTAAGGAACTCGCTGGTAGTTCACAGAGCCTGCACGACCACCCCCGCGCCGCAGATCTCCGCGCTCTACTTCCGCCTTCGTTTCCGATGATGCGGCTGCTCTCGCCCTTGCTGCGCTGTCCGCCGGTGCTCAAGTGCGGGCGGGGGCGGCGAGCAAACAGCGAGGGCCTGGAGACTCAACACGGGCCTTAGCAACGGCAGGGCCCCCTTGTCCTGGGCCTGCCTTCTCAATACCGCGTTGAGGGAGGGAGAACCACATGAGGGTCTGGATTCTGAGTCGTGGCCGCTCTCGGTGGCGGCTCTGGCCTTTGGGAGTTTTCCCTCATCTACTTAAAGAGCAGTTACTCACCCCACATTACCTATAGATAGGGCCAACTACTCTGAAATCCAGATGGATTTTCTAATGCCCAGCCCTTTCTTCTCCAGTTCTACTTGTTCCTGAAAAAGTGTCACTAAGGAAATGCTTTTAGAGAAATACTGTGCCAGAGACCCTGTGCTCCAGAGAAAAGCCCCACTGTATCCCCAGGTTATGGCTCCGGCCTCCACCTGGGACCGCGGGAACACGTGGGCACTAACAGAGACACTTAACTAACGAGGACACCTGAAAAAGAAGGGGGCGGGAAAAACAGGAGGCCGCGGGTGTGTGAACACAGACTGCTGGCCCCAGCCCAGGGGGAGCAGTATTGTCTGCACTGGCCCTAATGCGACGCCTGTCCTGCCCCAGCGTGGACAAGCCCGTTTCTGCATGATGCTGAAAGTCTTTCCTTATGGAAGAGCCAGTTCTAAAGGAAGGAAGTCCTGTTAGGTGAGGAGGTGCCATGCACATGTCCCACGGCTCTGCCTGCAGCCCCGGCCAGGGGGCCTGGGGGATGGCTCACTGCCGGGCAGCCCCGGACCCCAGGCCACGGCCACCCTGCCTTGCAGAGAGGAGTGGCGCGCGGATCGCTAACTTCCCACAGTGAGGGAAGTGGGCGTTGGACCGTGCAAGGAACTAGCAAAGGCAAACCTGCCCACTGTGCAGGTCCCGGAGGGTGCAGCCCTGTGGTGGCAGACATTTGCATTGTAAATGTTAGACATGCTTTCGGACCTTTCACAGCGAACCGAGTCCCACAGTTCTTGACCTGTGTCTTTCCTTCACCTTCAGGTCCACATTGGCCAACTGTATTCGACTCACAAGCTCATCATTGAGAATCAAGAGAAGCCCAAGACCTAGGAGCCAGGGACCTGCCACCAGTGGCAGCCGGGGACCACCTTCAGCATCCATTCTGTGCTTGGGAGCCTCCAGCTCTGCCTGCCCTGTGGGAGCTGACAGACAGTCACGTTTTCCTTTTGTCGCAGCCTCGCTAGCAGGATGGCCGTCTCTGCTCAGTTCAGTGTTAGCGTGGAGAGCGGGGCGCGCTCAGAACAATGCTGTGGATTGCCGCGCCTCTCTCCCCCGCCCCCATCCGTGGCTCACCGCCACTGCGTGTGCGTTCCCGGACTTTGTGTCGTGCTCCTTGACAATAAATAGGCTTGTCTGCCTAAGCCTTTCACACCACATCAGCCCATCGCCACGAAAGCATGTTCATTTCCTGCTGCTGCAGGGTCTCCGGAGGGCTGCGGGGGACCCCCGGGGAGCATCCAGCCCTGAGCAGAGAACGCCTGTGTGAAGGCAAGTTCGAGCACCAGTGAGATTTGGGGGGCGGTGGGGAGGAGTGCAGGGGTACAGGGCGCACCCTGCGGGTCATACCTGGGCCCACTGCAGCAACACAGGTGACAGGTGTGTGGACACACAGCCAGACAGCATCACAGCAGGAGCCCCAGCGGGGAGCTTGCTGGAAGCGCAGACTCAAGCACCTCCCCAGCCCTTGCGAAGGAGAAGCCACCGTCTGACCCCGCCCCCAGGTGACTCCACGCAGGCCGCAGTCTGCTGGCGTCTGACTCGGTAGCCGGTGAGGCACAATAGTTTTTCTGTATTTTTAAAGCGCTCCCTGTGTTTTTCATGGTTAGCTAGTTTGGGGACCCTCTGCTCTTTGCGTATGTTACAGGTAATAAAGATACTGTTTATATGCTTTTCTTCCTGGAAACACGCTCATTCCAAATGTAGAAAGAACGTATTAAATAACTTCCTTAACTTCTGGGGCACTTACAAGGGACCCAGACCCTGTCAGAGTGATCTCTTGTTTCTCTTTCTGTACAGCGCTAAGTGGATTCGGTATTTATGTGTTAAGGTTTGGAACAGGTTCATACAAATATAGCAGGTGCTAGAACAGCTGTGGCAGGGTCACGCCACCGAGCTGCTCACCCCTCACTGCAGCCCCCGCAGTCAGGGCAGCGAGCGGGAGCGTCTGCCCTGCGAGCGTCACATCCTCTCGCTAAAGTCGCGTCGGCCCATCTGAGCTGTTGAGTGCAGATTTGTTGTGACAGTGCTTTCAAAATGGATGAAATGTGTAGCCATTCTCTTTGGCAATACACCTTTTGATTTCAGGATGAAGTCTTGTGCACCTGTGAGACTAACGAAGCTCTTAGTAGGTTCTAGATCTGTTACCTTCCCAACAGTCCACTCTTGGGAGCTGCGGTGTTCGAATAGCCATTCAGCAGACAGTGGACGTAGGTGATGTGGAAAGTGCGATCTCTCTCTTCTCCTTCAGCTGGCTGTCACGGGACAGGGCCGTGACAGCCCTGGTGTGTGGCTCAGAGTCACTTCTGCTCTGCATCCATGGACTTTGTGGTCGCTCAGCAACGAAGGCATCCAGCATTGGATGGCACGGCTGATTTATACTTAATTTAAGCAGCTGCTACTTGAATCTTAAGTCCAGATTTGAACCTCTCCCCTAAAGGTATCAAATTGCTAGTAAAATAACAGATCCATAGGCGACGTCTCCCCCACCGCCAGGTCTCAGTCAGAGCGGCAGTCCACCAGCAAACGCAACTTGCCCGCAGGCCGGTCGCAGCAGGTCGCTTCTGTGCTAATTAAACCACATGAATGGATTTGAACATGCCCAAACCCTTCAAAATACAGAGCTAATATTTGTAACTCAGATAAAACTAACTAGGCATCTGGAACCTGTGCAAAGATATACATCAAAATTCTGTGACAGAAAAAGCCACAAACAGAGGCCTTGACCCCCCGCTACACTTCAGGTGCAGAGACTGGCGGGCGGAGCCTCGCACTGGGATTGCCCAGTTCGGAGCACCCAGGGCTGACTCCAGAGCTTGGAACAGAGTGACGTTGCCATGGGGACGATCCCTGATGTCCACAGTGAAGCATTCCAGCTGCTCAACTAGGCCCCAACTGAGGGACATGGGGCGAGGGTATAGGTGGGGAGCTGCACCATCCGACAGAGTCAGCCCCACAGAACTCTCTAGAATGTGTGACTGCTCTGAAGGGGGGATCCGGGCCGGGTCTGGAAATTATTTTCCAGTGTTAGCATTTAGCAAATGAGAAATACCACCATTAGCTACCTTCTCAGGCTAGACCATTTCCCAAATATTCAGAGATGACCTTGAGTAGGTCTGACTATAATGTGTAGCCAAAACCTTACACGGCCAAGCGCAGGACTGTGTCGTTCTGATGGCTGTTGTAATCTGGGTTGTGGACTAGAGGAAGAAGGGGTGTAGATTGCTTTACACATCCCCTGTCCTGCACCGAGTGGCAGTTACCTTTAACTCCCCTCATCTGCAGCCCCTCGGTACAATCAGTTGTCCACCCCGACATCCGGGAGCAAAAGGGACCAGCTGGGGCTGAGGTTTGCAAAGATGATGAACGCCAGAGCCGGCAGACGTTGGAGCTCAGCTAGTCCAGCCCCCACATCTGCAGTGTGTAGCTGAGATCCTGAGCAGAGCCAGCCTTCCCCGCCCCCTTTCCCTCGTAAGTTTGTCCACTCAGTTTACCAAGGGCCAGTAGTGCCAGGTGCCCGGAGCAACCAGAGCCCCTGCCTTCCAGAGCGTGCGGTCTAGCAGGAAGTTAAACAAGAAAAGGGCAAGTCTGATGAACGTTACAAAGGGGGCCATGCAGGTGCCGTGTGAGCTGAGGAAAGGATGCTAAGAGTAAGCGAAGGGGAGCTGGCTGGGTGAAGGGGGCTCTCTAGGCTGGTGGAGCCGCAAAGCCCCGGGTGGGGGATGGTGCAGGGAACTAACGGGAGTCCAGCATGGCTGGCCAGCAACTCCCCGGGAGCCTCAGCCTCAGCACGGTGAGGAACTTGGAAGGTTTTAAACAGGATGAGGTTTGTATTTTTTAAAGGCCACGTTGTCTGCTGTTGGGGAATAGGGAGGGGTGCGGGGAGCCCCACTTTGGGGGGGGCAGGGGATTGGGCTTCGTAGTCCAGGCAGGCAGTGATGGAGACTCCGCCTGCGAGGATGGCAGTCGGAACGGAAAGGAGAGTGGCATCGCCCTGAGAACGGCTGTGGCTAGGCTGCTGCTCCAGTGAGGACGGGAGACGTGGAGCAGAGACACCCGGCTGAGCTCTGGCTGCCGTGCAGATGCACGAGCAAGCCAGCCGAGCCTCCCCACCAGGTCTAGCCCGTCAGTCCGCTGCTGCCAGCCCTTGGACGTGCGATAAATAATAAGTTGGCACATAAGTCACTTATGAAGCAACGGCAAACTAATACAGAGAAGATCTAGTATGTTAATTTATTACTTTTTCAGGGCCACATGGCAAACCAAGGGAGAAGGCAGATAAACTTGGCCAAAACTGTGGGTCTCCTATGTGGGGCCATTTCCACAAATATCTTTGGAGTACACGTCGTTCTCTTTAGAGAACAAGTCCTGGAAGAACAGGTGTCACGTGTCCTACAGACCGAAGGGCTGGCAGATGTGGACCCCATTAGGGTGGACATTGGAAACAAGACAGGACAAAAGGATAAAAGAAAAGAAAAGGCAGAGTCAGCCGGACTTGGTGATTGATCGGGTGTGCGGAGATGAGGGCGGGGGCTGCAGGAGCCCCGGAGCGGCCCGGGGAACCGGGCAGACGGGGAGGCCTGGCAGAGACCAGGCAGGAGGAGGCTCGCTGTGCCGCTTTCTCCTCCAGCTGGCTTCAGACAACTTCAAATTCAAACACAACGCCCGGAGTCTACGGCTTTTTTCTCTCTCTTTTTTTTTTTTTTTTTGCTAAGTACTTTATACAAACTGCTGGTTGCTTTCAGATTAAAGGGTGTCTCAGTTATTCAGTTACTGAGGCCCAGGCTATAAATGCAGCAGAAGGTGAAGAAAAAGTACCAACCCAGGGGGAAGGGAAAGCTTTCCTACACCAGGGCCCTGCCCACAGCCTGGGACAAGGAGTCCCTTGATAAATACGGTCTGAACCCAGAGGATCAAACTTGACTGAAGAGAACCATCCCGTCTGTTTGAAGAACATTCTTAAAGGTCCAGCGAACCTGTGCTGGTGGCTTCACGTCAGCAGCCCAGGGTACGACCCAGAAGCCGCAGGCAGCAGCTGCACTGCCTGGACCACTGGGACGCACACGTGGTGAGGTCGCATAGACAAACCTGGAGACGCCCACGTGGACGTTCGTCATTATGAGCAAAGGAACAGCCAACAGGATCTGTGCCATGCACGTCCCTGGAGTCGACAGATGCCGCTCCACTAATCTGGTGTTTTCCAGTTGCTACAAAATGATCTGGAGAAAACTGGAAATGGATAGAGAGACAGCGATGATTTATGATTCGGCAGGCTTTTTCTGGGAGTTTACCTAAAATCTATATGGACAGTGGCTGAACTCACCTCTGAGAACAATAGGATCCTCACTTTTCAATCTTCCTGCAGCCCTTATTAGCACCTCAGGGAGCCATTGTTGAAAATTGCTTCTCAGGTTGATATCCTTCTGGGGAGTAGGACAGATGCTATTGCTTTTGCTCAAGGGCAAAGTTTTAAGTGCAAAGACCCTAAAGAGAGAACCCAGAAGGAGAACTCTCAGCGATGAATCAATGGTATTGTTTACCTGGGGGGCTGTTGCCACCACAGAGGTGATAGCAGAGTCAGTGTCTTGCAGTCTTGAAATTAGATCAGAAAATTGTTGATACCGATAGAGCCGGAACTGCACACGTTGGAGTCGTTCTGACCAGCAGGTCCCGGGCTGAACGTACCTGTGCTGAGTACAGCGGGGCCCGTGGTAATCACCAGGCATCCTCACTGCGTGTCCCCAGGGAAGCCAGACTTCAGGGAGAGGCCGGCTCTGCAGGAAATGAGCTTCCTATAAATGATCTGCATTCTCTTCCTGGCAAAATGAGAAGCTTTCTTAGTTCAATGGTACAAATAGAAACCTTTTCTTCCATCAGAAAGTTACTTTACGTACTTGGGGAGTATCAGTGGAATATTGTTAAAGCACTTCACTAGAACGTCCTACCGATTACCTAGTGAATTCATGTGACTTCATCTGTCTCGAATACAGAGACCGTTTAATAGCAATATAATTGGTTCTAGGCTTTTAAAGGAGCATTTCGTTTACATCATATATGTGCTAGACACAGCACATGTCGGACATATGATCATGGACTATGAAGTTAATGCTAAGAGTCTTGTCAAGAGTTGCCTAATATACTCTTCCACTCATACTTCAAGCATGTAACACATTTAGGATTATTAATTTGCCAAATTTTAGCGTGCATTAAAATATTTAAAA